ATAAAGGAATCACCAATTACTAATTAACTAAATGTATAGAGGGAGCTATAAAGGAATCACCAATTACTAATTAACTAAATGTATAGAGGGAGCTGTACAAGGAATCACCAATTACTAATTAACTAAATGTATAGAGGGAGCTGTACAAGGAATCACCAATTACTAATTAACTAAATGTATAGAGGGAGCTCTACAAGGAATCACCAATTACTAATTAATTAAATGTATAGAGGGAGCTCTACAAGGAATCACCAATTACTAATTAACTAAATGTATAGAGGGAACTGTACAAGGAATCACCAATTACTAATTAATTAAATGTATAGAAGGAGCTGTACAAGGAATCACCAATTACTAATTAACTAAATGTATAGAGGGAGCTGTACATAAAATCAATGGTAGATTCTTGAAGATTAATCTATATAAATATACATAAAGTCACTCGATACAACATAACATGTTTCTTGGATATAATAGAAACTTTTATCAGTAATACCTCTCTCATTCTACAATTTGTACACTGAAGATGGACATGTGTACAAACCATAGACCCTGCACATGCAAGTGACTGTCAACGATCAGTAAGTGGAACGTAGATGTCACGAAACAAATAAACATGATAACACTATAAAACGGTACAGATTAAACAGTGGTGTATTACATAATAAACATGATAACAACGTACATATTAAACAGTGGTGTATTACATAATAAACATGATAACACTATAAAACGGTACAGATTAAACAGTGGTGTATTACATAATAAACATGATAACACTATAAAACGGTACAGATTAAACAGTGGTGTATTACAGCAATGTATGAATTGAACATTTATACAATAAATAAAAACATTTCTTTTTGTAAATTCACATCACGTGACTAGTTATATCACCTACGGACATGTTATTTGTGAATTTCTTTATCAGCAAGGCTGGTACGTTCGAGGGCAACTTACAAGTAATTGCCAAATATTTCTCAGTCGCTAAAGAAATTATTTCAATACTTATACAAGTCATTATTAACGATATCAAGAGCAGACTATCTTAAGTTCCCACATATACAAAAGTCTTATCGAAGTAAACAGGACTAAAGCAACAACTTACTTGAGCTGCACCACCTTGTTCATATATGTTAATATGAGATTCGTCACCTACTAATATTTCCTGGCCTCGTCCCATGCAATGAGCCATTACTACAATGGAAGAGGTATATTCACAGTAAAGTACAGAACCATAACATAAATGGCACTTCAGTCACTTGGTTACATTAATGTATGGACCCGTAACATAACACTTCAGTCACTTGGTTACATTAATGTATGGACCCGTAACATAACACTTCAGTCACTTGGTTACATTCATGTATGGACCCGTAACAATACTTCAGTCACTTGGTCACATAAAGTATGGACCTGTAACAATACTTCAGTCACTTGGTTACATTAATGTATGGACCCGTAACATAACACTTCAGTCACTTGGTTACATTCATGTATGGACCCGTAACAATACTTCACTCACTTGGTTACATAAAGTGTTATGTTACAGGTCCATAAATGTAACCAAGTGACTGAAGTATTGTTACAGGTCCATACTTTATGTAACCAAGTGACTGAAGTATTGTTACGGGTCCATACATTAATGTAACCAAGTGACTGAAGTATTGTTACTGGTCCATACATTCTTCACTCACTTGGTTACATTAATGTACAGATCTATAACACAATACTTCAGTCACTCAGCCACATTAATGTATGGACCCGTAACATAACACTTCAGTCACTTAGTTACATTAATGTATGGACCTGTAACATAACACTTCAGTCACTTGGTTACATTAATGTACAGATCTATAACACAATACTTCAGTCACTCAGCCACATTAAAGTATGGACCCATAATATAAATACGACACTTCAGTCACTTGGTTACATTAATGGGGTAAGAACAGTTGTACACACAATATACAGAACTCCAGACAACTTGCATTAAGCCTCTAATTCAGAAGGATCTTACAGCTGTTCAGTGTATGTTGGGTGTCAGAGTACAAAGAAACTGATGTTGGAAAGAAAGACAACATCAGTGAAATATCGAGCCCATTAAAGTTTGTTTAGATAAAAGTGTGCTCAATTTTGGCTTGAAATATCTAAGAGTTTATTTTAAATAGTGTAGTGGCTTAACAATTTCTGAAACAGATTATATACTAAAGTCCAGAACTCCACTTTTTTTGAAGATGTTCCACAGAGACTGCTTTAGTAAATAGATTCTATTTTTATATATATACACATGCATCTTTTTCATATTTTAAATCATATACTTACTTGACACCAGGTTTCCCATGGTTCCCGTAGGCACAAAAAGTGCTGATTCCTTGCCAAACAGTGTGGCCCCCTGTCTTTCAAGTTCTGTGAATAACAGTAACTATGTATGTATATAATTAATTCTCTGACACGAACTGCAACAGTCATTAAGCATTTGCTCTATTCTCTGACACAATCTACAAAACAAGTGTAAAATTTATACTGAAAGTGAAATTAAAGGTAAATATAAACACATATCTACCAACAAGTAGTTAATGTTGAACAGAAGGACTTAAGGTCACAAAACATAATGATTCTTCCCTTATACTTGCTTAACCTTGTTTTATCTTCATCAATTCCCTGAAGTATGCCATGTAGATATTTAAACAAGTTAGATAAGCTGGGAATTTTATCTCTCCTGAATGACTGTTGATGTAGGAAATCTAGAATTGTGGGATACTGCACTAAGAACATTACATTACCTAGAAATGTGATGTACCATTCTTATTGCTCTAGTCTTTGTCTTGGGTAGACATTTTCCTCTCTAGTTCCAGCAACTGGAGAAAGTAGTACAATGAACTTTGAACCTGACCACTATGCTAAGACCCCACTGTCTTCATTATTGTTTGTTTAAGATATATAATTGACTTTTTTTTCCTATGCTCCCCATATTATATTTATTCTTTGGAAAACATTTATGAAACTTACTGTTTATTGGGTATTACTTATGCCTTATGTGTTATATATCAGTGTGTTTAAATACCAGCAGACAAATTATGAATAATTTTAAATCCTGTAAATATATATGTTAACAATAACACTCCAAACTCATCACTATAGTGATAAACACAAATGGTTGAGTACATTACATTAAAACAGTTTTAATATTCAAATCAGAAGATCACATGATAACCACAGCCAATACAAAGTCACAGTGGGTTGGAATGTTTCAGGACTATATTGTGAGATTGATTGGAATTTTGTAGGTAGCATGATGCCACCAAAAACTGATTGCATTGGGAAGAGTATTTAACAGCCTTTTCTGATGCAAAATATTCATTCATTCAGATTATAAAGATGTGTTCAGATCAAAGATTTAGAATTTTCAAGATTGAGATATTTCTTGTGCTTAATGACATTAGAAAACAAAGGAATATGGATCAACTTGGGACACCAGGACCATCCACAAAGAGACCTGCAACAAGTTGTACTCCAGCCATGGTAAGCAAAATGCGGCATCTTGTAATAGGTAAGATTCCACGATGACAAAGGTCAATGGCAAAAGCCATTAATGTGCCCCAAGAATCAATAAGAATTACCATCTGAAAAACAACACATGTCACGTGTACACAAGTTGCTTCACATATCCAGAAAAAGAAAACCACTGTAGAAAACTGTAGGACTTGGTTGAATTAAGAAAAACATTCAGGGAGAAGTGATGTGCCTTATGCAGCTTTTTTAAAGTCACAACTAAGCTGCAGGGCTATTGTCAAGATGCATGGTCACCAAACTGAAAATGAACAGAGATGGTGACATGGACTTTAATAATGTGAAGCTCCATAATGGTTTTCATATATGTATTCAACCATCTGTATTTAAATTAAAAATTCTTAGGATCTTTGTAAGTTCATAAAAACAAACAATTCACTATTTTATCAGATAATATTTTAGAGTATAGTTCCCAAATGACTAACGTGTCTATATCAAACCTAAAACAGTTGGATCTTCTCTGAAAACATCATCACCGACTTCTGCTTCAAACATTGCTTTTCTCATTTCAGGAGTTGGCTTTGTTACAGTGTCACTACGAACATCGATAAATTGAGCTCCCTCCATTGTCTACTAGAATGAACAGTCTCTGTAAAACCTTTAGTTTAAGTATATAAATGACTTATTGTTTCTCTTAATTGAAAAAACAAGTATTACTACTAGTAAGTAGTATACAAATAATTAAAACACGCGCTTGCGATAATCTTACTTGGAAACTATAAACAATCAAAATCCTATCTAGAAATCCCAATATTCTGAAACCTAGTTTTTTCTTACTGTCAATACTTTTGTTGTTTTTGAAAACAGAATACTTCTAAAGAAAGACAGAAACACAACAGAAACTTGGACAGAAAAACTGATTTAATGATCACGTGAATGAGAAAAGAACCTGACGAGAACGAGACAGGAATTTACACACGAGAACGGAACAGGAAATTAGCGATGTTACATATACAGTAAGTTTACTGGATACATATCCAATAAATATTTTACAGAAGATAGACCAATTTTCTGTCAAAACACGCAGTATGTGCCTCTCACTATACATCACTTTATTATGTTTATATTGTAATAAATCGTTGTTTGCCAACTTATTATTCAAATATAAATGTTTCTTTCAAGGTCACGAGATGAACGCCATCTCGCAGTGAGAAACTTTTATACATAGTGAAGAATCTAAAAAAAAAAAAATTCAGATGTGCTTTGGTGAGCCAATTAATATTTTATTATTAAAACAACTTCAAAGGTTCTCTTTCGTTCATGAAGATGTAATTTTTATAGTTTATATATGTAAAATATTTCGTATTTAATGTGTTAAACTGAATTAATTGAAACTCTCCCATTTCGGGAATGATAAACAAATACAGCAACAATACAACAAATTCTGAAAATACAATAACAATAATAGTGCAAATCACTGTAATAAAAATAGAATATCGAATAGCTGGAACTTTGACAACAAGATTCTCTTTATTTGAAGCGTTTTTGAACTTGTTTTGCATTTTCGTATTTATT